GGGACGAAAAAGCCGCGGCGGTGGGCGGAAGAGCCGAACGACCGGAAGCGGCGCGGCGGTGTTCTCTTTGATACACAAGGCAAGGCGTAGCTTTTTAGAAGCTCGCAAGATGCTACGTTTACGCGCCCGCCCGGCTTGCCGGCGTAAACGTTGTTGACGGGCGGGCGCGTTAAATGAAATTAACTCCTCGAAAAGTTGGACGATCTCTCGCGTGAGAATGGCGCGTGAAAAATTACGTACGGCGTTTGCGAAGAGTTTAATTTTCGACAATATCTTTCGTTTATTAATCTTCCAATTTATTCTATACAATTTTTTACCAAACCAAATTCGACATCTTTATTGATGCAGTACTGTATCTCCCTATTTAAAAATGCTTGCAAAAAATCATAGTCATAGATAATTATAAGCATTTTTAATGTTTTCTCTAAAAAAGAGAAAACTTATACGAGTTTAATTGTAAGGCGAGTTTAATCGTGATGCGTTGATGCGGGAAATACAGCCACGTCACGAAAGGCTGAAAAACAGGATGATTAATTCAGGTCTCCAGTTTGATCTTGATCGTACTGGCTTGATCGTATAGATCATTTCGACGAACATAAAAATGCATACCGCGCATATAATTAGTTAACCGCTCACGTTGTTACCACCGCTAATTAACACTAGTCGCGCGTTACGCGTTTCGCAGGCATGTGTCTAATTACTGGTGTCCGCGACGATTAGATCGCAAAATCCGTATGGCAGGTTTCGGTTATGCCGATACATTCCCGCACGTATTGCTTAGTATGCTAATTGCGAATAGAAAATCCCTATTCTTCGTCGTAGCGATAATTAAATCGAACGACTTCGTTAAGGTAACAAGACACGCGATTCTGGTGCTTATTAAAGTCAACAAGATTTTTATAGCTCTAATTAAAACTGCTTGTAGATTTAATATTTTTTTACTCGTTAATGTAAGAAAAACAAATAATAATTTATTCAGTGTTCAGAGTAGAATTAAAGGAATTTAACAAATTAATTTAAAAATACAGATAAATATAACAAAATTTTATTTTAATGACAGGCTTAATTTTATGTATAGCTTAATTGTCAAGATATTTAACGTGGAAAATTATGGCGTCAGATCGAGGAATTTTTAGCTTAGTGTATTTTCGCGCTTTTGCGCACCGAAAAGCGATCCCACGACGGCTTCGTCGGCGTGCCGGATCGATTAATTGAATTAATTCGATCGAGCCGCAGACGCGACCGCGCGCGAATTGAGCGCAGCCTCGCCGAAAGTCGGGAGCGATAACATGATAACCGAGAGCACGTCGGTCGTTTCCGGTCGCTGGGATAAAGGCGGGATCCGATCGTGCATAAATCGGGCCGCCGAATCGCGTCACGCCTCGATTAACTGTTTCGCACGGCTCGCAATTTGTGCGCGAACGATTACGTT